GCGTCACACAGACTCATCACTGGGGAGATGATTCCACCTGAGCCGGGTACAACTGTCTGCCCTTCCCTCGGCAATACCGCTCAGCAAAAAGAGAGAAGACCGAGCGGCACAGTGTCACTACTCTGCCCCTGTGTATGTACTTCCCAGCTCCAAGACCCCAAGCCTTTCTGACATCATTCCTCTTTCACTTCAAGAGTCCCAAGGACCCCAATCCTGCAGTGAGTGTCAATGCCCCTCAGTACCAGGCTTCCCAAGGTAAAAGAAGTCCTGAGACTGACTGGCCATCCCCCCGAAAGATGGGAATCCCTTCTGCCTGACTCCTGCACAGGGGCCATGGAGCTCCCAAACCAGCTCGCTCTGCCCAGTATGAACCAGTAAGTCAGAGTGCTTGACTGAAGAGGGCTGCTTCTGAGTCTCACAACACACAACCCTGTGTGTCACAAACCACATGTATCTGGGCTCTGAGGGAATGTAGGTCAAATCTAACACCAGAGAAGGGTGAACAAAGATGACCAGCCAGTAAGGGGGAGCTATTCTATGCATTCTCTTGCTAAACTAAATCTTTGCTGTCTCATCTTTCACCTCACTGACCCACCCACTCATGGGAGACTTTAGGACGAGAGCTAGAAGAAAACAAAGACAGCTTAAAAATGTTTTCCTTAAATCGGGCTTGTTCATCAGCCTGCCCCAAAATAGTAAAAAGAAAAGGCTGTCTGAGTGGATGAGTGGAATCGGCTCTGAGTGGATGAGAAACGCTTCCTTTTCCCTGGGGCAGTCACAAAACTGCCTTCATAAGACAGGAGAAGAGAAGGACTTTTTAGGTTCTTTGGCTCTGAAAACCAGCTTTTCTTTTGAAAGGCTTAAAACTCTGACGAACAAGAAAAGAATCCTGAAAACTCCTAAAAAGTAATCAATTTAGGCTGGAGAGATGGCTCAGCAATTAAAAGCACTGGCTGTTCTTGCAGAAGCCTGGGGTTCAGTTCCCAGCACCTACATGGTGGCTAACAACCATCTGTTACTCCAGTTCCAGGAGATCTGATGCCCTCTTCTGACATCCATGGGCACTGCACAATTGGGTACACTTACATACATGCAGACAATACACTCATACACATAAAATAAAAATAATAAATAAAATATTTAGAAAATAACCAATTTGCTTCCAGAATTAAGAAAACAACAAAAGAATAGATCCGTTTTCTTGTTATTTGAAAACAATTTTGGTATCTCTAAACCAGAATGTACTGCCCTCTCACGTAACAAAAGAATGATTTATTAAAATGATTAAGAGGTTAAAACTGGGGCACATGCCTATAATCCAATCCCAGCACTCAGGATGCAGAGGCAGGAGGATCAGAAGTTCAAGGTTATACTATGTTTTAGATATCTGCATGTGAAGCCAGTCTGAGCTATGTGGGACCCTGTCTCAAATAAATAAATTAATTAAATAGCCATGACAAGAGAACTAGGACTAGGTAGTGATACAACATTTAACAGAATATATAACAATTCTTGCTCTTAAAGATCATAAATTCCTGCTGGTCCTGGTGGCGCACACCTTTAATCCCAGCACTCGGGAGGCAGAAGCAGGCGGATCTCTGTGAGTTCAAGGCCAGCCTGGTCTACATAGTAAGTTCCAAGCTAGCTGGGGCTACAGGGAGACCCTGTCTCAAAAAGATCAAAAATTTTTTAATTTATTTTTATTTTATGTAAATTGAGTGTTTTGCCTGCATGTATGTACGTGTACCCATGCATGCAGTGCCCCTGGAGGTCAAAAGAGGGTGTCGGATCCCCTGAAGCTGAGTTACTGACAGTTGTTAGCTGCCATGTGGGTGCTGAACCCAGGTCCTCTGCAAGAACAGCCAGTGCTCTTAAGGCTGAGCTGTCTCTCCAGCCCTGGTGACCCATCTTTACTTCCTTGCTCTTCCTACAAAGAATGCTCAGCAGCAATGGAAACCCAATGGTGGGGATTCATCTGGTTCCTGAGCACAGGTTTCTGCTAAAGGAACCAGGGCTTCTTGAGAAGAGTGGGACGGAGAATGTAACAGAAGAGCCTGGAGCATCTTACTGAGCTGACAGCAAAGTGTCAAAGCAGTGAAGGTAAGTTGGAGGACACGGAAGTTGGCTGAGGTTCCTCCTGGCCACATTGGGACAAACTCAGCAGCAAATTAATAGGCTTATTAAAAATTATAACCTAAAAAACTGAATAAATAAATGCTAAAGAATAGAAAGCAAAGCCAGGTGTGGTGGCTCACACTGACAATCCCAGTACTTACAAGGCTGAGGCAGGAGGATTGCTATAAGAGTTTGAGGTTAGCCTGTGCTACACATTGAGTCCTAATCTCAAAAACACAACAACAAAATAACTTTTACTTTGTAAGAAGTAAACAGAAAGCTGACCTTTAAAGAGTTCTGAATAGTCAAAGTAGGAGGCATGCCAGAATTAGAAAAATCTCGGTTAGGTAACTTACAGTCTTGGGGTATCCATATCTACTAAATGATGGGGGTGGGGGACAGCCCAGGCAAACAGCATCTCCAGAGGCAGCAGCAGCAGCAGCCTGGAAGAATGACAGGCTGCGCCTCCTGACAGTGAGCCTGAGATAGCTCCACCATAGCGCCAGGCAGCAGCACTTGCACAGCCTTCCTGCCACAGAGGGGAGTGGCACACCTCAGATGCCACCAAAGCTCTGAGGGACTTGCTGTACTTGAAACGTCAAGGTCAGGAAAGGCATGAAGAGCTGCTTCAGGTTAAAGACATGAAACAATGTAATTGTGGACTCGCCTTGGAGCATAATTTTGATCTTTTTAAAATAAAGTCTCTAGTGAGGAGTTGAATTAATGTGAATATCTGTAGATCAGATAATAATGGGCTGTGGGCGTTCCAGTCCCCATTCTGATCATGCTGTTGACCACCTTTCGCACCCACCGAAGCACTGAGACAAAGAGCCCTGGACCACCAATTTCCATCCATTCTTCCTTTGTTTGGCAGGGTCTCACTATGTAGCTCAGGCTGGTCTAGAAGTGGTGATCCTCCTTCCTCAGCCTCCCAGGCACCTGGATTACAGGCATGCAACCACCATGCCTGGCTTTGTCATCTTCTTAAAGAGTTCAGAATAAAAATGTGTGTGCACATGTGTGGGAGGGAGAGGGAAAGAATGCTGAATCAAACATGGTAAGATATTTGGGGACTCTGAGTGAACAGTATGTGGGAAATCTCTGTACTATTACTGAAATATTCTTCCGTCGGGGGAAAAAAAAATCACATAAAAACAACACTTAGGGTTGGCAATGTGGCTCTGTGCACAGGACTCATCCAGCACATACAAGGCCTGTGTTTGATCCCAAGGCCACGGAATAAAGAAGCAGAGAGAATAAAGATTGAAACTTAAAAAATGTACATGCCAGGTGTGGTGGCACACGCCTTTAATCCCAGCAGGCAGAGGCGGGCAGATCTCTGTGAGTTCAAGGCCAGCCTGAACATGGTGAGTTCCAGGACAGCTTGGGCTATAGAGAGACCCTGTCTCAAAAGACAAAAAAAAAGTTTAAATTTCCCATTTGCCCACAGAATCTGGGAAAATTGTATTAATTTAGTTCTTGCACTGAACTGAAATTAATCAACTCATTAGAATGAATGATAAGTCCCAACAAATGCTGATATTGGCAGGTATAAACTGGATAGAAAGCACTCAATGCCCAGCCCTCCTTTCTCCAAATTACACTTAAAGCAGGTAAACTCCAGAGGACACGGGCGGCTTGGTAAGCGGCAGTGTTCTTTTCACCCAGCTCAGGTGAAAATCCTTCTGGGTCACAGGTTTGTGGACTGAAAAATGACCAGGATCTTCTACCAGATAATCTGCGTAGCCTGTTATAATGGTTTCATTCTAAGAACCTACAACATAGGCACTGAGAGATGGCACAGTGGTTAGAGCGCTGGCTGCTCTTGTAAAGGACCCAGGTTCGGTTCCCAGCACCCACAGGGTGGCTACCAAGGTCCGTAACTCCAGTTCCAGGGGATCAGACACCCTCTTCTGGCCTCTGTGAGCATGGCATACACAGGTGCACTTACATGTAGGCAATATACTCATACACATAAATAAAAATAATACATGTTCAAAAACACACATAAAAATAAATTAGAAAAGAATCCACAATGTAAAACACAGACCTCACTTGAGTCAAAAGTTCAAACACCAAAACAAATTAGACAGGAAGTATTCAATAACTATCTGTCCTTTGGGCCCAGAATGTACCCCTGCCCCATACAACTGGACACATTACAGAGTGCTCCCTTCTCTTCTGAGTGGTGCCCAAGTCAAAAACCCTCCTTTGCTCACATCAACCACTTGAAAACTTGGATTCCTAAATTTATTTTTGTGGTACTGGAAACTGAACCTAGGACCTCAGACATGCTAGGCAAGTGCTCCACCTCTAAGCAGGTCCCGAGCCCCCAGCCTGAGTTCTCCTCTCTAGGCAGTCCTGGACCTGGATTGAAGCTGGCCATTCAGTGACTTCTTACTGCAGGAAAACAGGGACTTCTGCTGGGCGCTGTGGCACAGGCTCATAAGCCCAGCACTTGGGAGCAGAAGTGGGAGGGTCAGGAGCTTAAGGCCAGCCTGAGCTACATTTTACATTACCAAAAATAAACAAATAAATACAAGAGGCAAAGAGAGATTTCCTGTGCATGTGGTCTCTGAACTCAGCCAGCTTCACACACAAGCACAACCATGCATCTGATCACCCTCACTGGCATGCAACATCAAGGCTAATCTCCTCAAACCTGGTGGGGAAATGGCACCTATCTCAGCTTCTAAACATAATATGCAAATGAAATGGACTGACTGGACATTCTAGAGAGAGTTCTACACAAACCATCCCATGTGAGTATTAACTACTATGAGCTGCTTCTTTGCTCTAGATATTGCCATTACGATGGAACACTACGGGGTGGCATCTTAAACACACAATACAGTACGGCCACCAGCTTTCCTGTGGCATCTCACCTGAGAGCTCTTGCCACACTTGGCATCTCCCGACACGACCACGATTTGATTTTGCAGCAGATTCTCCATAAAGGAGTATTTCTCTTTCCATATTGGAAGTTCTTCTCTTTCTTTCAAAAGTTTATAATAACGGGACGAATATGGCAAGCCATCAAAAGGGTTCAGCTCCAAGTCCTCACAGGCCAGAACGCCTTCCTCGTCCCCATCACTGGAATCCAGGGATTCAGGAAAATAGCGCTTTTCTGGGGAGGAGTTTGGATGCTCTAGGTCTTCTTCATCCATTTCTTCTGGGCAAGGAGCTCAGGCAGCTGACATTCCAGACAGGTTTTCCATCAGCAGCCCAGTGCAGATGGAGTGTGAAGCCCACTCACCCACTCAGCCGACACGACCCAGTCCAGGGTATCAGCTAGCTGACTCCTCAGACCGGTGTCCCTCGTTGCTGGGTTACCCTCAGTGCTGGTGGCACTCCTCCTCATTGACTACATGACTTTCAATAAACCACGCTAAAACACAAACACACAGAAAATGGGTATGAAACCAGGAACACACACAATGTTAGAAACACAGAAAGTAGACACACTCAAAGCATTTGTGAGTTTTTCTGTCTACTGGCTGCTGCCTGCTTAAGTGGCCAGGAATAATTCAGGCCAGCTCTAACAGGTTAGTGGGCTGTGACTTTCCCAGGCTGATTGGAAAATGATCCACGTGGAGCTGGTGCTCTCTCCCTGACCTCTCCAGGCCTCTCCAGGGAGGTAACTGTGAATGGAAAGCAACAGGGAGGCAGATTGGAATTGTGAGGCTAATCCATCACGTGGTCACATAATCCCATGACAAAGAGATGCGGCCTCTATAAAAGGGAAAACTGGGCGGGCCTGGGGACCTGTCCCCAAACACTGGCTACCAGAAAGTCTCCTCAGACTCAGAAATACTCAGGGTTCAAGGAGAGCATTTAAGACGTTTTCCATTTTACTTTTGCTTCTGTCAGTTTAAAAGTGCCAGCGAGGGAAGTGAATTTATTCATTTTTTTCCAGTTTTTGCTAGTAAGTCCCTTTGTTTAATTAGATCAGAAGTCTTGAGCGATCTAATATTTCCAGCGATTTCTGGGTGTGGAGCTTAATAAGCCAGAACCAAAAAGCTAATAAAATAGCTTTTTTAAAGGTAGACAATTCCGTTTTTCTTTTTTAATATGTATTTCATACATCTTAATCATATTTAGAGCCCTCCCTATCTGTATCCCCGTAGCTCCCCCCCGATTTCATGCATTCTGTCATATATGTTAAGGTCTTATCGGGCCAAGTTTGTGCTCAGATGTTCCTCAGTGTGAGTTCATCCACTGGAGCCTGGTCAGCCTATCAGTATCACTCCAGCTCTCTCTCCCTCACCCTGCAGTGATCAGCTGTCAATAGCTCCTCGGCTAAGGTTGGGACTTCGTACCCATTTCCCCAGTTCTATGCTGGATTTTTGTCTGGTTTGAGTTTGCCTGGGTCTTGTGCATGATGTCAACATTACCGTAAATTCATATGAGCAAGTTCCCAGAAGCCTGGAAACTGTTTCCTTGTGGTCATCCACCACCCCTGGCTCTTATAGTCTTTCCTCCCTTTCTTGTGCAATGGTCCCTGAGCCCTGGGTGGGTGAGGTTGAGTACAGGAGTCCTGTCCAGGACACACCATTCTCTGCAGTCTCTTATTCTCTACATTTTGGTCAATTATGGTTTTCTATGTTAATCATCCTCTGTTCCATGAAGAAAAGACAGCTTTTAATTTAAATGAAGAGATTACATAAGGAAAGGTAAGGCTTACACCAAGAACACATACAATACATGTCAAGTGAGACATCTTCCTTCCTCCATTATTAGAAATTATCAGGGAAAAAAGTGCCCATTTGTGCTGCCCGAGAAAACGCTTCTCCTACCAGCCAAGCAAGGGTCAAAACAATAAAGATAAAAATAAAAATATCGAGAGAAAACTCATGCTAAAAAAATAAATAAATCAGAGCTGGGAGAGGTGGCAGGTGCCTTTAATACCAGCATTCTGGGAGGCAGAAGCAGGCAGATCTCTTGAGATTGAGGCCAGCCTGGTCTACACAGTGAGTTCCAGGCCAGCTGGGATAACAGGGAGACCCTGTCTCAGAGAAACAAAAACCAAAATAAAACAAAACAAAAAAAGAGAACAATCATAAAACTGAACTAACAGTATTCTTTTACTGTTAGGTTTCTTCTTTTACTCAGTCTCTCTCTGATTCTTGAACTGTGTTTCCAGGATCAGCCTCTGTGGGCTCCCAGGACTGGCCCCTCAGTCACAAGTAAGAAAAAAGGCTGTCATTGGTTCAGTGAGGCTCCAGGACAGAACTTCTATAAACACACATATATAAATAAGAGGGAGAAACTAATCCTGGGGGATCCAGGAGGATGGTCCAGCTCTGTGTGTACTAAATTCTGACAAAGGTATCTGGAAAATCACTGCTTTAAAACTAAGATGGAATTATAATGGTGTGTAATGTAAACACAGATGTAGAACTTGAACTTGCTTCAGGACCCCTCAGTACCCCTGTGGTGTGAGATGAGACCCCTAGGCAGCTGCACAAAGCACGGTGCATGAGATGCCACTTGTCTAAACCAGGTCTAAGAATCTCAGCTTCCGGCCTAGGAGGCTGTTAAAGCTCAGTCTAATGCTCAGCCCTTCTTCTGTTCTAAGTAGGATGCCTTCCAAGGGCTCTCTTTCACCGTTGTAATCTTTTAAGTTAAACTGCTGTTAACCCCTGATTGCCTTAGGGACTATTTCTTAACTATTTTACTTTATAACTTTTAAGCATAGCAGAGCTATCATTCCCACCAAGTATGTCTCTGTTAATTTATAGTATTCCTCCGAGTAGAATGTGCTTAGAGTTATAGTGAAGCCTTATGAAACTTAACCAGACCTGTGTTTGGTTAACCTGAAAACCGTGCGGATTGCCGGACAGGAGCTTTGGGACCATGGAGTGGTGCAGATACAGCCCTGGGCTACCTTTAGTCCTCTTAATGGCCATTTACTACCACCACCACCAACCACCTATCTGACCTAACATCCTTGTGACCATTAAGTAAAGCGTTTGGAATGCATTGTTCAACTGCTAAGCTTAATAGCAGACCACCAGCTTCCACCAACCTGACCCGCAGACATCTGAGACCTACAGTGAAAATGTCCCTGCTCTGCTAACACCCTCCTAACTCATGTCCCCACCAGTGTATTTGGCAAATGCATTGATGGGGACTTTCTTCTGTACTGTGGAGCATGGGTCATTGATAAGTCACCTAAATCTGTGATGCCCACTTCCAGCCACTTATACTTACTTGGCTTAGGAAAACTGCCTCTTTTTCCCTTGGGAACCAGAGCCATGTTTGGAGAATTAGAAAGGAATGACTATGATGGACCCTCAGGGAATGGACACATGTTTGAACAGTGCTTTCTAGAGACCTAAGGCTCACCTCACTCATTTGCTACAGACTATGTGCACATGACACTACACAGTTAAGGCAGAACTAGAGATGGCTGCCTATCCAATGGAAAGGAAGGAGTCTGTGTCCTCTCTCCTGGAGCCTGAGCTCTTCCTTGACTCACTAAGATTTAGGAGCAGAGTGACTGATGCTTAGTCACACCCACAAGGTTCCCATGCTGGAAATACTCTGCTTTGGAGCTGGCTAATATTCTGAGATGCCCAGGCCACTGTGGACAGTCAGCATAAACCTCCAACCTGAGTGAGTATGGAAGGTACTCCAGCCCTACCAAGCATCCCAGCCAGCACCCCCAAGTGAGCTCTGAAAAGGCGCCCTCAGGACCCCACTCAATTCAAGGGATCTCGGGGGCTGACAGTTCATCCCTCTTGTAAGCGACTACATTGACAGGTGGGTTCTGCAGTCTTATAAATAACATATACCCACAATAACTGTTTCTTCATGATTCAAGGTCACTGTATGTTGAGTTACCGCAGTAGACCTATGTCCTCAGATTCCCTTGAATAGGGAAAAGTCAAAGCTAGACAGCTGCCCCAGAGCTCTGCCTGTTCCAGTGCCCATAGCTCCCTGTCACCCACACACTCTCCCAGCTAGGCTGTCCTCCTTGGCCCTTAGAAACCAGACAGGCTTGTTTTACAACTGCCTATAAAGGTTGGGTTCACAAAGGACTCTTGATGTAATTCAGTGAATCTCAGGGTCCAAGTTATTATAAAGTTCACAGGCTCTGGGACAGTCAGTGTCATTTTGTTGCTATGAAGCTTGGGTTCCAGATATGGGGGAGGGGGCTGAGCCTCAACTGGAGGCAGAGTTTGGGGCCGCTGACTCCAGTGGTATCATCTTCATTCAGTCTACATCTGTATTGAACCATGCTAATAAATATATTCAAACCATTCATACACTTCTTTGGCAAATAAAAAGGGCCAACATGGAGAAGGAAAAGAAAATATGGGGAAAATAAGGGAGCTGGGATGTGGGCACTTGTCTAGCACCTACAAGATCCTGGGCAGCTGGGAGAAGGATCAGAAGTTCACAGTCATCCTTGGCAGCATGGCAAGTCCTAAACCAGCCTGGAATACATGAGACTAAGGGGAGTAGGGAAGGGAGAGGAGAGGAGGGAGAGAAGTGAGTGAGGGAGGGAAAGTAAATATGGATATGGTAGGTGGTCATGTGCCCTGGTGGCACACACCTTTAATCACAGCACTCGGGAGGCAGAGGCAGGCAGATCTCTATGAGTTCCAGGCCAGCCTGGTCTACATAGTAAGCTCAGGCCAGCTGGGGCTACAGGGAGACCCTGTCTCAAAAAGTAAAAACAAAACAATCAATCCTACATCTGATCCTTCATCTGATACAGTTGGTGAACAGTGGCCTCCAAAGATGCCCTTAATCCCTGGAACTTGTGAACATGTACTTTGCACACAGAAGGCAAAAGGGATCCTGTGGCTGTCATCAGGGCCCTTGAGCTGGGAGATCACCCAGGACTGTCTGGGTGGGGTCAGTCAAATCAGATGCAGTTCAGAATCAGGACCTTTCCCAGCTGTAGTCAGGGGGAGTCAAAGAAGAACACAAAGACAGCTTTGAAGATGGAGGAACAAAGGCCAAAACCTCTAGGACCCCCCCACCTCCTCTAGGACCCCCCACCTCCTCTAGGATCCCCCACCTCCTCTAGGACCCCC